TGTGAAAGGGTTTAAAATTTTAGCCAATCAGCGAAACCCTGAAAAAAATAGACTCGACCATTCTTTTCCGAAATTAGTAAAACACGTGTTTTTACGTACAGTACTGCACTGTTTAGTTCATTACAGAGATAAATTTTAGGTTGATTCAACGTCGTCAATAATTGAGGTCGCAGCACATAACTTTCCGATGGTATGGTTTTATATTACTGATCATTCGATCAAAATTTTATGATCGGGGAATATCAGCGATTGCAATCTTGATTGGTTAGTAAGATTATATCATCGAAAGTCATGTAATATGTAATCTAGAATTTATGTTTAGAGATCGTCAAACTATATTTACCCCCAAAAAACATTTCAGCATTGTACAAAGAAATAGTAATTTTTTTATAGTTTTTGTGCAGACCTCTGCATGTACAACGAATAATTTTTTGCATAGACTTCTATATATATAACGATAATTTGTAGGTGCAGATTTCTTTCTTGTATAAAAGATCTACAATTTTTATCACTAAAAATTAGGTAAAACAAATAAATGCCTAATGAACTATAGTAATAAAATGGTCCTTAATATTAATACTGTAGCTTATCTAATATGTCAAAATAATATAATAAAAATCAAATTCATTAATATAATGCAACATATTCATAATTTTATATTAATGCGCAGCGAATAAACATAAATAATTCATAAAGGCATAATGAAAGTTTATTAGTTCGTTCATAAAATCATGAGAGTACTATTGAATCGAAGATCTGCAAGAGCACAAATCCTGAGATAGCAACAAATGTAAGACCTAGCATATTCCTTTGTGATAATATTAAGCCTTGCGATTTATGACTGATTGTCAGAAAGCTGGAAGGAGAATGTTGACAAAATATTTTGATTTCTAAATTTCTAAAAAAGTAAAATCCCAATAAAATTACGATTTTATACAGTAATGGGAATGTATTGTAATAAATTCAATATTGCGTTTAAACATAAGATTATTTGTCTGTTCGGTCTGCAATATCTTTCACTAATAGAATTTTACAGTTTGCGCTGATCTTACCTTATTGTTGATTCATTATTTCGAAAACTCGAAATAAAAAAAAAGCAATGTAAAAACTCTAATTAATGTGAAGGCTTTCCCGGAAGGTTTTAGGTCAACAAATCATATGATAGCGCACTTCGATTGTTGGTTGGTTACGCTGGTGCTTTTCTCACTTTGCCCATCTCAATGATTTCAGTAACAAAATAACATATTAAAACATATTAACATTCTATCGAAACATGATAAATTACTGTAGTACCGCAATTCTCCTGGGTAAACTCGCTACAGTTCTGCAGTGAAAACTCAAGATTCACATCCAGATTTTACTCTGCGCACTCATAATTTATAAGTGTGAAAAGGTGCTACCGATAATATTAGTCGTTTATCACTCTCTTCAAAAAAATAAAGAAATTTTGGTTCAATAATGCATTACACAGTAGGTTGTGTATTATTGTACAAAAAATATATTTAAGTTCAATATTATAAATCTAATGGATATTTTGCAATTTATTAATTAATTGTAATAGGTTCTCTTCTATATTATATGTCACGGATGATCGTACATTTGATAAAAATTTTTGGGGTACATTTTTTTAGGCGCTTTTTTAGATTTTGATTAGGATTTAGGGTTAGGGCTTATAATAAAAGAGTATAGGAGGTTTTAGTAGGGTTTATATTTTTAAATTAAGGCCCCAGGTTTCACGAACAATGTAATATATGAAGGGAAAATCTATAAAGTGCCCCCATGTACTTTGTGCCTCCTAGCAAAATTTTAGCCTGTACTAAGTATTAAAATTAGATTAAAGTAAGAAATTAAATTAAAAATTGTGTAAAATTGCGAGAGGAACATTTTTGCTTAGTTACATAACAGGGTTACCTTCGTAAAATTTTGAGATATTAGCGTTAGCGATTTTATGATTAAGAATTGGGATTAGGTTAGGGTTAGGTTAGGTTCGGTTAAGGTTAGTTTAGAGTTAGGTTAGGGTTATAATTTAGGTTTATATTAGTGTAAAATTGCGAGAGGAACATTTTTGCTTAGTCGCAAAACAGGGTTACCCTAGTAAAATTTTGAGATATTGGCGATTTTATGATAGGGGGCACAAAGTGCACGGGGCACTGACTAGTCCTGTCCTATATGAAAACATGGGTACCTATATAAGAACTTTTTTTTATTTTGTTAACATGCCTATATATTTGGATTACTGTATATTTTAAGGTTTTTTTTTTTTTTTTTTACTATATCGGCATATTTTAGGTTTTGATAAATCTACAGATTATCGATTTTGTCGAATTGATTTTTTCGATTGCTAAAATCATATCGATATGAATATTTATTGAATTTTGCAGTCCATTTAAGGTTTTAACGATTGAAGTCATTTCTGGACGGATATGGGGATCTTTATTCCAACATTTCATGTATAGTTCAACATATTTAAGGGGTGTGTTTTTTGCCGGAATTTCTCTAAATTCATCTAATACTTGCATGTCCCAAAAAATTTCACGCGAAGTTAGTAGTTTGAATAGTGGTTGGCCACTCGAGATCTCCTAAAGAATAACTCCAAGACTGCAAATGTCGGATTTTTTATCACATATAGAGTCTTTTAAACATCGAGGATCTATATATGTTGGCATGCCTCTAATTTCTGAGCATGACGGTATTGAAGCTTCATTAATTTGCCTTGACATACCAAAATCTGTGATCTTAATTTGCTTATTATAAACGAGAACGTTTCTGGAATTCTAACAAAATAAAAGATATATATGCTTACTAAGTCACCATGAACTATACTTTTAGTATGTAAAATCAAAGCCCTTGTACTGTTTCCTCAGCCATACGAATTTTGTCAATCAATTGTAAGCTGAAATTTTCTCTTAAATAATCCCGTAAGCTTTATCAGCATGTTGTAATGTTCTTTTGAATGATCTATTTTTAGTGGTAATTCATTAAGGGAGGTGTCATTTATCAGCTGATTTTTTGTGAATAGTAAAATTTCCCCCCTCCCTCAAATGATTATGATTATATATAAACATATATACATGCGATCTATTGGCATGATATTTTGGTATCCACCCCTGCTAAAAAAATCAGATGATAAATGATACTTCCCTAACTAGAATTAATAAATTTTCGCTGCCAAGTTGAATATTTTAACCAGGTATTACGTAATTTATGATTCAAGCACCTTCTCAATGTGATTGACTAATACCATGCACAAACATATGATTAATTGAATTCTGAAAATCATGGTGCGAAAAGAGAGAATAGATTAGTTGTGCAACCAAAAATTCAGGTCGGAAGGCCGGAATTGATAAAATTTTCCTAACATCCCAAAATTTACCAATAAAATGTATTAAGTCAATTTTGCTACAGAATCATATAGTTGACTAGTATTATTGTTTAATCTCAGATCTATTCCTAAATTTTGGTCGATCTGCTGAATTTTGGTTGTGCGACTAATCTTTTTTTATTGTGATGAATTACTCGACTAAAGCGAAACACATGCCAATATTTTTACATAACTAGAAGATTAATGCATTTAACTCATCCAAAAGTAAAGCTTTAGGAAGCTGTTCAACAACGTACGTACGTACGTACCTTTTGTAATTCCATAAAAAGCAATGATGTTAGGGTGACCCTGAGCACTTCGCAAAATTTCGACCTTATATAAAATTTGAAATAAAGATCGCACATTAGCGTTGGGCATTTGTAAGTTACATTTTAGTTTATGTAAGTTACAATGTAAGGTAAGCTAAGTTATAAATTATAAAAATTACTAGAACTACAGTAAGACCTCCATAAGTGCACCCCCTCGGGACCATAGTAAAAAAAAAGCAAAATGTGCACTTAAAAAGTGTGTGCATTTATAAAGAACAAAATATATAGTGCTTTTATAAGTTGGGGCTAAGCTATGCCGTGCATTAGAAAGAATAGGGCGTGCACTTATAGTTAGGGAGGTCTTACTGTATATAGTCATTTATGAAAAATAAGTATCTGTGCAAATTCTTGTTTTTGATTGGGCATACCTTTTCACATGCAATTTATCTAAGATATATATTGTGTAATTTCTGCATTCAGCTATTAACTGTTCAGTAATACGTAGCGGAAACTAATATGCAAACACTTGGCACAGTAATTTGAAAAGCGTGATAAATAGTTTTTTTTATATATTGGTATTACAGTAAAACCTCTATAAGTGCACGCACGCACTAGAGACCAATCTTTAACAATATGTATTTAGAGATTAATAAGAGAAAGTGCATTTATAGAGGCATGTATATATTTGGGTCAGAACTTGATAGAGAGGATGTGCACTTATAGAGGGTGCACTTATGGAGGTTTTACTGTATATAGAATTATGTTTGTTAAATAGTATTAAAATTTTTATGCTTTTAAATTAAATATTATAAATTATTTATAATAATTTACTAAAAATTTTAATAATAAACTATTTAAATTAAATAAATGTTTAAATTAAAAATTTTAAAAAATTATATATAAGTATATATGCATCACGAAATTTTTTTTATTGCAGTTCTGCGCAGGGTTACAAAAAAATTAAATAATAAATCAAATGAAAATCTGCACAAAACTTCAAATTTGATACTATAAATACAGAAATTAGATGCAATTCTGCACAAAATTTCAAATTCTAAAAAATTTTGCAAATTTTTTATAACAATACAAAATTTTGTCCGATGTGTAACTTACAATGTAACTTACATTTGCCCAACTCTATCGCACATTAGTGGTAAGATATAATCAGGGATGGTAAAAAATACGGAAGGGTGAATCTCGAATTCCCTTGATTCAGGTTTCACCCCTGTCGTATCTCTGCTAATATTATGACATAGATATATTTAGTCAGATTTAATTATTTAGAACATAATAATCACCTGTTTTAACAGAGAAAAAAATGTGTTAAAAATGCTTTTTTAAGACTTTAAATAAAAAAATAAAATTTTTATTTACCTCGCTGTTGAAATTTGATTTTGTGTACCATCCCTTAAACGCTTAAGGGCTTTCGTGATTTTGCAACATTTACACTCAGACTTATAAATCACCTCTGAACCACTATTAATTTCTATAATTTTATCAAAGTCAATACGATCATGCATCTTATAATTAGTGATTCTGATCGAAAAAGTTTCCATAATTTCATAGATCAATAAAGAATGTGAACCTGTACGAAAACGACTAAAGCAGATATGAAAGTCAATTATCAAATTCAATTGAATACACGTAAAAAGGAAAGGATAATTTTTTTGACCCATTTAAATAGTTGATGATAGGAACGTACGTACAATACCTACACTTTTCGCCGCTACGGTTTTACAAATTCGTGAAACCTTTTATGTGCACTTAACATTTATGTGTGGAGCCTGCATTCCTTTCAAACTTAATCCTTTAACATGAATTCCTATTATGTGTGAAACCTGCATTCATTTAGATTAGCCATGTATATCTATGATAAACAATTTTCTGATGTGTATAATGAACCTGATCGTAGCACGATAAAGTCTAATAAAAGTAACGTTAGATTATAAAAAAAGTAACTATTCATTTAGATTCTAATAAAAGTAACCGTTATAACATTTTAGTTCATTTAGATTAACCATGTAAATATACTGTATGATAAACACTTTTCTAATGTGTATAATGCAACCTGCAAAATCAATTGATCGTAGCACGAGCGGGAACGATAAAGTAATGAGTACATAAAAAAGCTTTTTTCTAATTACATTCTATGCTAAATAAATTGATAATGCAGATTTTATCTGCATTAGCAAAAATAACAAAAAAGGAAATTGTAACGTTAAACTCCGTGCCAAGTTGGTGGTGCATTAATTAGCCACAATATCTCTTTTATACAGTACGTTGTGAAGATAAAACTATCTAAAATAAACCACCAAAACAATCCAACCACAATCCCAAGACTCCTAAAACCTTGAATTGGTAGGCTGAAAGAGGCGTGGAGAGACTTGGTCCGAGAGTCAAGGTCTTTCGGGTACTGAACCTAGATGCCGTACAAAAAATGCGCGGCAGATCTTCGATTTGAATTGGTTAAGAGCGATGATCAAAAAATTAGGCCTGAATTACTCATAATTTTACTAATGAAATCGCAGCTGCCCACTAAGTGAAAATTGTTCCTGGGCCAATTTTACCGTAATGCGGGCTTATTTTTAAAATTTCTATATTTATAATGAAAAAATTAAAAAGTTAATTCCGGCCGGAAATTAGTAAACAATTATGTAATGTGGGCCAAAATTTTGAAGATCCTCGGCCGTTAGCCAATCAAAATCGAAGATCTGCCGCGCATTTTTTGTGCGGCACTTAGGTTCAATCTGGACACTAGCTGTGATCTGAGGCAAGCGTTAGTCTGAGGCACAACATATATATAGGGTGAAAATCTGGAATTGATATATTTAAGCTTTCACAATGGCGAACTTAGTCCTTGAAGAACTATGATAATTACGTGTCGGGCATTGATATTCTATCGAAGCATGATAAATTACGTAATATCAATTTTTCTAAGGTAAATTCACTATAGTGAAAACTTAAATATTCACTTCCGAGTCTTCCTCTACAGCACTCATATAATTTATAAGTGTGAAAAGTGCTACTGAAATATACTGGTCGTTTATAACTCTTCAAAAAAAAAAAAAATGTGAAATTTGCAGATCAAAAAAAAAAAAAGAAATCGATGATTTCTGATTTCTGATTGCCGATTTTTTTAACATTACTTCTGATGACGTATGTAT